GGGCAGGGCCGGGGCACCGCCCGGCCAGGACATGGTGAGTGCCACGGGCTCTCAGTGACTCCCGGAGAATGGTTTGTTTTCCTTCAAAACACTTGGAATAGAAGGTACAGAGCTGTAATTCTTAGTTCAGTTCGCTTGTGCTGCAGTGACATCCCTGGTTGTCACATTTTCATAAGTCTTTTAATTATTTGCTTACATCAATCCATAGCCTGAATGACAGGAATTATTAATAGTTCCTTTTCCAGAAGAGTTCTGGTTATTCTGGAACACACTGGGGTCAGCTGTTTACGGGGAAGAACTCTAAATGCTTTGCTAATTAGTCTGAATCCTTCCTCCTTGGAAGGACCATGGAGAGGACAAACCCTGGGAAGCTCCATGAACCAGGGACCAGCAGAACAGAGCCTGGTCACACCTGGGAAACAATGGTTGCTCCATGGGAGACCTGTCCCAGGTGTGAACACTGTCCCTGTGTGTCCTGCTCACGGCTCATCCAGGCTCTGCAGAAGGTGCCAGTGGCACCTTGGTGGGTGTAGAAGACATTGGCAACCAGCACTTGTTGTCCCCTGATGGCTGGGGTTAAACAGAAAGGTTGGAATGGTGGGGTTTTTAGTGCTGAAAGGTGTCTGTGTCACAGCTGATTTCCCTGCTCCTGACAGAGAAGATTCCCTCCTGTTGTGAGATCCAGGGCACCCTCAGGGAGTTTGCAGGTGACATGGAGCTGAGTGTGACCCTTTTTATAACGAGGGTGGGGAGGCCCTGGCCCAGGTTGCCCAGAGAAGCTGTGGCTGCCCCTGGATCCCTGGAAGTGCCCAAGGCCAGGTTGGAGCGGCCTGGGCTGGTGGAAGGTGTCCCTGCCCATGGCAGGGGTGGCACTGGGTGGGCTTTGAGGTCCCTTCCCACCCAAACAGTTCTGGGATTCTGTGGGGTATTTTAATAAGCGTATCAACAAACCACACCCCCGGGAATGTTTCTGTTCCCCACACCAAGGAGGTTTCCCTGTGGTTGCTTTGCAGGGTCAGTGTTCCCACGGGTCCCTCGGGCCCCGCCCACTGCAGAGCCCCCTGTGCTGGAGAGCCCCCAGAAGTTCTTCCTGCGCATAAAGGAGAAACTGCAGCAGCAGCAGCAGCACAAAGGTACGTGGGACTGCCCTGGGAAACACTTCACAGCCTTCCTCAGCTCAGAACCCAGGCACTGGGGAGGCTGGAAAAGCCCTCTGACCCCATCGAGTCCAGCCATCCCAAGGCCACCACTGCCCCATGTCCCCACGGGCTCCACCACAAGCCCCTTCCAATGCTTAAATATCACTAACTTCTTTGTTGCACCTTTTTTTTTCCTAATGTGCAGATCCAACACCTTCAAACCCCATCCAGCAGAACATTCCTCCCCCCACAGCCACGGAGAAGCCTTTAGTCAGAGCTGCCTGTGCCGAGCAGCCCAGGGCTGAGCCTCCCGAGGAGGGGGACGCCAATAAGGAGGAGGATGTGGACGTTTTCCTGGTGGAACCAATAGATGCTGATGGTGAAATGTCTCAGAGCACAGGGACTAGTTTTCTGAATGTGAATTCCACCCCTTCGAAAAACGAGGATCAGGTAACAGAAAACTGGGGAAATGGAGGAGCAAAACATACAGAGCTTCATCAAGGCAGAAGAGAGTTGCAGCCCAGTAAAAAACAAGCTGCTCTGGGAGTGGAAAAGACCGTGGAGAGTAATTCCCCAAAGCCCTCCCAGTGCTTCTGCAGCATTATGCTGTCTAGTCCCACAGTCCACATTCCAAAGAAGCAGAAGCTGACAGAAAGGCCTGAGGACCCTTTGGACAAACGTCATACCGACCAACCTGCTGGCAAAGCAGACAAAGAGGTGGGAGAAATTAATCCTTTAGGGAAAAGAGATTCCTCTGGGCCGTGTGTAGCTCCAGTTGTGGTTTTTCTTGTCAAAAGCAAGGAGCACTCAGAAGAGAACAAACCACTGTTTCATTAGATTTTACTGGTAAATTTTCCCATCGAAAAGATTTATTTTTTACCTTACTCCAAGATGAGTTACTCCAAATGTTCAGGTTTTGGGTTGGTTTTTTTTTTGTCTAAAAGAGGCCCTTTTGGTTTAGTGTGCACAAGCCACAGTGTGGGCTGAAAGGGTCCCAGTGTTGGTTCCAGCTCTTGGCTGCCCAGTCAAATCCAAGGAGGAGAGACCTTTCCCAGCTGTAGGCTAGGGATGAATCCATGAATCTGCCCAGCTGATGAGGAGGTGAAAGGCTTGGCTTTCCTACAGAACATCTGGACTCCTTCTGAATCGAGTGGGACCAGAATCTTTTCCTAGGAGAGCAGTCTGCAGCCTGGCAGTACTCCCACCTTTCTGTATGGAAGGCAGTGTATCTGGAAGCATGCTGCATCCCTGGGATTCCCTGGAAACCTGGCACAAGCACACCTGCCTGAGGCTTGAGTTTCCCTTGTTCTCTGGAGGAACCTGGGGTTGCAGTTCCTTCAAGTTAAGCGAGTGACTTGTTTTGTTCTCCCACGTGGCCAAGTGTGTTTGATGTGTTTCCTGTACTAAAAAAACCAATTCACCTTCGTGGTGAGCTTTGACTGAGATAAGGATCAGATACCCTTTAATAGTCAAGATTTGTAGCCAAGGAGAAGGGATGTTGTTACTGGATCTGAGCACTGAGGAGGTGCTGGGTAATAAATACAACTTTAAATGCTTTATTTTCTTTTTTTTCTGTACCAGAAAAGCATCTGCCTGAGCAGCTGGAGGATTAAAGTGATGGAAGGCAACACGGCGATTTCTCTGGAGGGCAAACGGCAGTAAGACCCCGTTTTGTGGTTGATGTGTAGTGTAAAACAGGCCCAGCCTGGGGCACCCCCCACCCAGGGATGGTGCAGAGCAATTCCTCTGTGTGGGCAAGAGGTGGCCAGACAAGGCCAGAGCCGTTCCTGTTCCAGGCTAGGGAAGGAAAGCAGCACAGAGCACGTCCTGCCAGCACCTGCATCCCTCAGCAAACGGGCATCACTGCCACTCCCCTTGGAACAGCAGAGCTCCAGGTCAAACCCCCTTCTTTTCTGCAAAGGAAAGGTTGTGTTCCCCTTGCTCAGGCTCTGTCTCTCCCCAGGGACATGAAGGGCCTGCTGTGGCACAGCAATGCCATCACCGAGCGCGTGGCCCACAACCAGCTGAGGACGTCCTCGGGCAGCCTCTACCTCCTGCAGGGCAAGATCGACTCTGCCACCATGAGGAGAGAAGGTGAGGCTGGGGCAGAGCAGCACTGCCACTGCTCAGGGGTGCCCTGGGGAGGGGAGGGATGGACCTGCCCAGCTGGGCTGGGATCCTGTTCTCTGGCATGTTCTGCAGTAAGGAGCTGCAGGTTAGTGCTTCCAGGCAGCCCCGGGGGCACAGAGATCAGCTGTGGCACAGGTGAATGAATACTTAGAATCACAGGATCAACTGAGCTGGAAGGGACCCCCAAGGACCATCCAGTCCAACCCCTGGCCCCTGACCCCAACAATCCCCCTGTGCCCCAGAGGATCATCCAAACCCTCCTGGAGCTCTGGCAGCCTTGGGGCCGTGCCCACTGCCCTGGGGAGCCTGGGCAGTGCCAACCACCCTCTGGGGGAGGAACCTTGTCCTGAGATCCAACCTGAGCCTGCCCTTGGCATTATTTCCCTTAACACAGGTGTGCCCTGGGTGTGTGATGCCAGGTTTTCACTGAACACACCTGCACTCTGCTCTTTCAGGCCCAAAGATGTGTCTGTGTCTTCAGTGTTTCCTTCTTAATTCCTGGGATACCTGCTTGATAAACACCTGACCTGGCTGCTCTCTGACTTGAAGTTTTTATTAGTTCCTCTGCTAAATACTTGTATTTGCTTTCATTTTACCATTCTGAGAAGAAGTAACAGCAATAGGTTTGTGAGCAGAGTGGCTCGAGTGCTGCAGAGGCTTCCTAAAGCCTGGGAGCGAATGGGCTGTGCTGGGATGGAACTGGCTGGGTCAGTTCCTCTGACCTTTGGACTGAATATGCTTGTCCTGGATGTTTTCTCTACCCCCAGTGATTAAAAGTCTCGCTGAGCTGTTGGTGATGTCCCCTCTGTCCCCCCAGGGTTTCCCTACCGCTTCATCAAACGATTCACCTATGGCTTTTCCAGGAGGTGGAAGGAGTATGTCCAGGAGTTCCTCGAGGAAAGGAGGAGGTAATTTCTCTTTCATTGCAATGTTCTTTAAAGCATTCATTGAGGTTTTGCTTTTTAAGAATATTATACCAGAGAAGTGTGAAAGGCTGCAGATGTGTGCACGAAGCCACTGCTGTGCTGTGCCAAGGGGCTTCTGCCCCCAGGAAGGCTTCACTTTTACATCATTTGTTAAGGAACAGCTCTTTTAGATGCTTATTCTTTCTTTTCTTAAACTCCAAATCATTAGGAAAGGCCAAAAACAGAACAGTGGTGTGGATGAAGATGAAGAGAGTGACACTGTGGTGGAAAGTGATGTGTTGGAAACTGGAGAAGGCTCAAAGAAGAAACCTGGAATGAAGAACACCACCTATGAAGTATTGCCAAGGAATGATGAAAACACCTGTGAGTGTTTGATAATCATTTCCTTTGGAAAAGACAACTGGGGGAGGACAGAATGGGTTGTGGAAAAGCTCCTTACGTTGGTGTTGTTTCCAGGAATTGCTGTAAAGCCACAACCTGTTGAGCCCCCTGGTTTTGCTCAGCCTTAGAGAGCAGTCCCAGCCTTGTGGACACTGACAGCTTTGGGCTTTAACTCACACCTTTCTCTGGGTTCTCTGTCCAGTGGGGTTTGGCCAAGCTCCACTGTGCTGTTTGTTGATGCTGCAATCAGATTTCCTTGCTAGCACTATAAAAGCTCCTTTATTTTTTTCTCTCCTCACTCCCATTTATTTGTCTCTCATCATCCACGTTTATTTTTCGCTCCCTTTTCTCTCAATGAGGAGCTGTTCAGTGTGACAACTTCTCTTTATCATTCTCCCTCCCTCCATGACTTTGCCAGTATTTATAACCTTGTAAACAGAGTGAAAGTCCTCACAGAGAGTGGGACACCTGTGAAGGTGATCACTTCAGTGCTGTTTTTCCAATCAGAACACTTTCAAAAGAACCACTTGGGCTAAGTTTTACATTGTCCACGTAGTCTGGTTTAAACACCACATTGCTCGTGAGGTGTGCAAGGCTGAATTTTCCATGCAATGTCTGGGACAAGCCCCTTATTTCCTGCTTTCCCCCTGCAGACACCACCCCAAGGCACAGCTCCCCGGGGAAGGACTCGAGCAGGGTTTACACTCGCAGCGGGAGACAGGTCAGACCCCCCATGAACTTCTGGTGTGGGCAACGGGCCTTTGTGGATCAGAACCTTAATGTCACCCTGGAAGAGGGTGGAGTGGATTATCTCAGCCTGGTAAGGTTCCTTTGCATGTTGGTGCTTAAGTGTGTCTTAAATATAATGAATAAACTTGGCAAGGTGTGTAACGGAACCGGTGCAGCTCTCAGAGGTACCTGGAAGGGAAGGAGCAGGATAAAAACATTGTAAAACAAACTAACAGAATTGCCTTAGCTCTGTGTTATCAGGGAACTGTTGTCTGTCAAATGGGGACAATGGGGAATTGGTTCTGGAAAAAGCCTGGGGTTTTTGGAAAGATAATGTATCAGACAGGCAGTTGGTGAGGTCCCACCTCAGATCCTGAGGTCCTTCACTGCAGGATAGCCCTGGAGGGGGTGGAGCGTGTCCAGGGAAGGGAAGGGAGCTGGGAAGGGGCTGGAGCAGCAGGAGCAGCTGGGGGAGCTGGGGGGGCTCAGCCTGGAGAAAAGGAGATTAAATTAGGTTTAGATTAAATTGTTTTATTTTGAAGATGCTTAGTAGTGAAAAATCCCACAAAAAGACCAGTTTCATCTCTAAGAAGAACAAACCAAAGGAAGTCATGAAGACAACAGAGGAAATGCCAAAAAGCCAAAATAAAGGTAACAACTTTTTTTCCCCTATTTTCAGGTGATTGATGGAATCAGTGGGATTGTGAGTTGGGTGCTGGAGCAGTGGGGTGGGGTCTGTTAACGCAAAGGATTTATTTAAGTCTTTTAATGGTCAGCTGCTTTTTCTCTGAAGGGTCATCAGAGCAGCACTGATGTGTAGTTTTACAGCTCCAGATATAAACTGTGCTTGTCAAAGTGTTCTCTAACTGCATAATTGGGACACACGTTTCTTTCGACACACTGAAATGGAGGGATCCAGTGCCTTGGGGCCTGGCTTTGCTTTTTAATGAGGAGGAAATAAAAGATATGACATGCCTGTGTAGGCGTGGAAAAAAAAAGTCTATTAGCGGAGTTTTTGATAAAAACTTGTTGTTAATAAAATGTGGGCAACAGTAGAAGCCTGCAAACAGTGTGAAATGTCAAGCAGAAGTTTCTGTCCTAAAGCAGCTGCAATGTTTCCTGCAGAAAGGCTCTTTGGAGCAGGAGCAGAGCTTTTGGGAGGTGTGTGCCCAGGCAGTGTTCGGTAGTCACGGACAGCCCTTCCCGGAGCTCTGAGTTTGTAGTGCCTGGCAGGTAAAGCTCTGGCAGGGGTTGCAGGTGCCCTGTGCTGAGAGCCACCACTCACCCTGCACCCTGCCATTGTCTCTTCCAGGGAAAAGCAGGGAGAGAGGAGCCAGCTCCAAACGGGAATCCGAGCCTGCTGGAAGCAGGGAGAGAGGAGCCAGTTCCAAAGGGGAATCCAAGCCTGCTGGAAGCAGGGAGAGAGGAGCCAGCTCCAAAGGGGAATCTGAGCCTGCTGGAAGCAGGGAGAAGGGAGCCAGCTCCAAATGGGAATCCAAGCCTGCTGGAAGCAGGGAGAGAGGAGCCAGCTCCAAATGGGAATCCAAGCCTGCTGGAAGCAGGGAGAGAGGAGCCAGCTCCAAAGGGGAATCCAAGCCTGCTGGAAGCAGGGAGGCCCGGCGGTTCCTGTTGGAGGAGGAGGAGAGTGACCCTGCAACCAGGGGCACAAAAACCAAATCCCAGCCTCCTGCCAGGGTGCCTTCCTCAAACAGCAAAGTGCCAAACAGACACAGCCCCAGAATCCTGGGAATGGCAAAGGAGAAGCGAGGAGCAGACGCTGCAGAGCTGCCCGGGTACGAGCAGGCTTCCAAGTACTCCCTGAGGTCAGCCAGGAAGCCTTTCCCAGCCAAGCACTTCACCAAGGAATCCTCAGGCAAGGATGAGGGAGGGGGATCCAGTGATGATGATACCCCACTGCTGATCAGAAGGAAAAATAAATCTGTGTTAAAACCGGGGCCTCAAAGCCGCAGATCCCGCTCTGACTCTGACAGATCCCAGGATGGTGCAGACAAGGCGTGGGGTGAGCCAAGGACAGGAAGAGCCTCCCGGAATGTGCCAGTGAGGCTGAGTGAGACCAGTGAGGAGTCTGAGCTCGCCACCGAAGGAAACAGTCCTGCCAGTGGGTCCAGCGACTCCCTCCTGCCTGGGGAGGCCGTGAGGACACGGAGCAGAACCAACCCCCCCAGGCACTGGCTGGATTTCGACAGCGAGCCCGAAACCAGCAAGGAGGAACTTCCCACAAAGGACAGGAATGCAAAAGTACCTGGTAAAAAACCAGGGGCTGGAGCTCCCAGCACTGCCAAGTCTGCAGCAGCCAGATCGAGAGAGCCTGAGAGGGCAAAGCAGCAGAAACCTCTGGAGCTTTTTGCCAGGGCAGCTGATGGCTGGTCTGAGAAGGAATTACAGAAGCTTTACAGGCAAGGGGTCGCTCTGTGTTCAGAGGGAACAGTTCCCGCCGGGCACCGGCGGGGTTGGGGTGGTCTGCTTTGGGATTTTCCAGGTTCCCTCTCTTGCACGTGATTTTCAAGGGTTCCTTTATGTTTTAGTTCCCTCTTGTCCCCAAGTTAACCATCAGTGAAACAAAGGAGAAGCTGGGTATTCTCTACAATAGCTGGAGGTGTGTGAGCCTGCAGCAGCCCCTGTCACAGTGTGAAGGGAGAGGAGCACTGCTTAGGCAGGATTTTGTGAATCTACTCCTCTGCTGGTTTTCAAAACCACATATTTAATCTCGTTAAAAATAAAAACTCATTCCTATGAGTAACATTGAAACCCATGAGTAGGTAAATGACATGGTAGTATTTGTGTGTATGATGTGGACCATGGGCCAGAGGGGGCAGGTTCTGTCCCCAGACTGGAGTGACATGTTTAACGTGCCATGTTTATGTCAGCAGGTTTGGTAAAGGGGAGAGGAACTGCAGGAATGTGCATGTTCTAAGTGTCTGGAGGAGACACCAGAGGAAAAAATTCTTTCCAGAGAGGGTAATCAGCCATTGGAATG